CGCAGGAACCCGAGGCTAGTCCCAGGAGAAGAACTCTTCTTCCCTTGCTGAAATACAGAAGCAACATAAAATTACTGCTTCCTACACAAAAAAAAGAAACAAGATAAAAACAGAAGTTATCTGAGTCCTGGACTGCATTGGGGGGGGGCGGTGATCTAGAAATGGGGGATCTAGACAGGAGCATGTCTTCTAAATCTGTTAACTTGCTTTATCTCATCCCATCTAGATACTTTTAAACTTCATAATGGTCCTACAAGCCAGAAGAATTCCCTACAAACCTTTCCAAGAGGAAGAAATGGGATGTTAACCCCTTGGACGTCGTCCCTTTCCAGCAGGAAGTAGTAAAAGATCGATCAACACCCCTGTTCACCGTAATATCCCGTGGTTGTTGTACCACAAGGCTGAAAAGCTTGTGGGACAAGGTGGGGAGGAATGTGAAGGAAAACCCCTATTCTGTAAAACTACTGTTTGGAATTGTCTGCTATTCTTTGGACAGCCTCTTATTCTGAAAAAGTAACTTGCTTTCTAGTCTGCTTGAATAATGGGGGAGTTAAATTAGCTGTCTGACCTTGTAGGCCAGAGACTAGATATACCCAATGCCATGCCAGGTGCATTTTTAATTGATAGAACTGTGTAGTTTTCAAGGCCGCGCTTTAGTTAACTTTAATTTCAGACCATCCTTTGTGGTTACTTTAGGTCTCTGAGTTTTCAAGACTGCCATGCAGGCCTCCCCTGAGCTTGTCAGGTCAGCATGTGGCCCCTTTCATCCACACGTACCTATGATAAAGTTTAATTTATAAATTAGGCAAAGTAAGAGACTAACAATAATAACTAGTAATAAAGGACGGAAGATAGGAGGGAGGGGACGTAAACTGCCTCCTTCAGGGCAAAAATGTCTTCATGTCCTCTTCCTTTCCTTAATTCCCAGGCATTCCGCTTCCAGCATCTTCCTCCCTCTAGTCTAACATGGCTAGGGAAGGAATGCCTCCGACTTCCAACTAATGTCATAGGTTGTGAAGATTTTGCAAAGGGAAACATGGGCCTTGCTAATTGCTGAGGAAAGGGCCGTAATATGGGAAAGGAGCAAAGGATCAAAGTTGGAAGGAGTAGATGTTTAAAAGGCTGGGGGAGAGGGGAGGATGAAGTAGCATGAGGAAAGGAGGAGGGCTCTGTACTTTACAGGCTTTATCTGGTGAAGGTCTACATGAGGAGGCTGTATTGCCTTGAGGGATGAGCTCTATTAGAGGCTTATGATCTTCTTGTCCTGCTACAGTGTGGCTTCTTCCCTGGAAAACTAGGAGTAAAGAGCATATGGAGCATTGTTTAGGGGTGGCATGCATGTGTTCACACCACAGAGGGCAGGAAATAAACCAAAGTAATTCTCTCATCCCCACCTTCCCAGTCATGCACGTACCTGAGCCATCTTCAATGCACACAGAGCCCACTCTTGGGGATGGCTCTGGCAGAGTTTGGGTGGGGTCAAATCATCTGAACAGCCTCTACCCTTCCACAGAGGAGAAACAGACATCCTCCCAAGGGCAAAATTACAGATTGACTACAACTTGAGGCTCAATTTAAATTTTATATGGGAACTCGTTTATTTAGTTTATAAGTTTATGATTTCTTACATCTTTCCTCCTACTTTTTATTCAGTGGGTTTTTAATTATGCCTTTTCAATAGTACACTTGCAGACCCTGACTTACTCTTCAAAATAATTTCTCTAATTTAAACTTCTACATCTTCAATACTTTATATTGTCAGACATTACATTTTTCAAGCTGATGGATGTGAAATAACACATCATTATTGTTTTAATGATGCTGAGTATTTTAAAAAATGTTTATTAAACATGTCAGTTTCCTCTTCTGTGAATTGCTTTTTCATGGTCTTGTCCATATTTTTATGGGGATTCTTGCATTTTCTGTTGATTCAAAAATGTTCATTTATATTTTCTGGATACTAGTTCTTTACTGGTTATATGCATTGCAAATATCATCTTCCTTACTGTATTGATTACTTTTCAAAATTATTATACAAAAGCTTTAAAAGATTAAGGGATAGTGTATGTCTGTTTGTTTGTTTTATCCCTTTGTTGTTGTTTTTTTAACTAAATCTTTATTGCTCAGATTATTACAATTGTTCCTCTTCCCCCCCACCATAGATCCCCTCCACCCAGTTCCCACCCCACCCTCTGCACTTACCCCCTTCTCCTCCACTGTCCTCATCCATAGGTGTATGATTTTTGTCCAGGCTCTTCCCGAACCACCCACACCCCTTTCCCCCCCAAGAATAGTCAGTCAACTCCCTTTCTATGGCCCTGATTCTATTATAATCACCAGTTTATTCTGTTCATCAGATTATTTATTCACCTTATTTTTAGATTCACTTGTTGATAGATGTGTATTTGTTGTTCATAATTTTTATCTTTACCTTTTTCTTCTTCTTCCTCTTCTTAAAGGATACCCTTCAGCATTTCATATAATACTGGTTTGGTGTTGATAAACTCCTTTAGCTTTTTCTTATCTGTGAAGCTCTTTATCTGACCATCAATTCTAAATTATCGCTTTTCTGGGTAGAGGAATTTTGGTTGTAACATCTTGCTATTCATCACTTTGAATATTTCTTGCCACTCCCTCTGGCCTGAAAAGTTTCTGTTGAGAAGTCAGCTGACAGTCTCATGGGAGCTCCCTTGTAGGTAACTAACTGCTTTTTTCTTGCTGCTTTTAAGATTCTCTCTTTCTCTTTAACCCTTGCCATGTCTGCTGTTGGAACTCTGTATAATATTCTTTATTTCAGTCAGTGTATGCTTAATTTCTAGTTGGTCCTTTTTCATATCCTCGAGGGTCTCACTAGATTTCTTGAGGGTCTCACTAAAATTAATCGGCGTTTTCTAGAAAATTCTTGGAAAACCTTATAAGTGTGGTTTTGAACTCTATATCCAGTAGTTTGCTTTCCTCCATTTCTGTCATCTGTGACCCATTTCTTTGTCTCCACATTTTTTATGCTTCTGTGTATTGAGAGTGGCTTTCTGTGCTAGGTGTCCTATAGGGCCCAGTGGCTCAGCCTCCCCAATTACCTGAGGTGGACACTCTTGGTTCACCCTTTTGTGGGCTTTGTGAACAGTATTGTTGCAGTTAAGCCTTGATTGTTGTAAGTATCACTGGGAAGAATTGACATCCAGGCCAATTGGCTGTGAGAATCCGCTGTGTCTATGCTGGGACAACTTCTGTGCTAGAGACAGCCTTCTGGGGCAAGACTTGCTTCAGTGGGGCTTTTGTGCTCACTGAGTCTGCCCCTTGAGTGTGTCCCTTATGGATCTGGGGAGTTGTAATCTGGATGGTCCCACTCTGACCAATAGGTACACTGGCTCTTGGATCTCTAAGGAGGTGTTAATTTAGCCTCTGCCTGAGGCTACCCAGCAGGAGCTATGGAGAGATCTGCAGATTTCTCTTCTTTGTTTGGGGTTTGGAGGTGCCCAGATGAGGCCCTGCTGTGAAGCAATGCAAGCTGCTGTGGGGCCTTGGGCCTTCACCTTGCACATAGATTATTCCTCACTTTTATCTGTATGACAAATTCCTAGCAGTGGGATTTGCTATGTCAAGGATATGTGACCCATATCCTTCTCTGACCCAGCTGCAGTTTGTAAGGTAATTTTCAGATTGCAAAGGGCCAGGCCTTTCATATGCAAAAGCCTCTGCACACAACTTGGGTGGGGCAGGGTCTCAGGGAATCAACAGGGTGGAGCAAACAGCTATGGCTGATCCTCAGTCCTACCCTATGTGGCCCCGGGTCTCAGTGTCCCAGTAATCACTGCAAACACCTCTGAAAGAAAGCCACCCTTGAGTTCTGACTGATGCCAGAAAGTCCAGTTTCTCCCAGTATGAGACTCGCCCGGAACTGGAGTTCAGAGCAGTCAGGAGCTTGAGACTCCCTCCCAATTGAAAAAGACAACCGCGTCATCAGTTGCCAGCCTTTTCCACATGCGCCTCCACACCTCTGCACTTTACTTCCGCACCTCATCTGAGTTTCAGTGTGCTTTTCTCTGTCCTCTAGTTGTAGAATTTCCACTCAGCCAGCATTCCTGTGGTTCTGGATGATGTCCGTTTTGACTTTTTGTATTTTTGAAGTAGTTGTGCCAGGCAGCAATTTCTGGTGTTTACCTAAGCCACCATCTTGGATGACCTCCTGTTTGTCTTTAAATAGGTAATAACACCTATGAAATTCAAAGGCATGAAAGTATGCAGCAAAGAGTCTCCCTCCACTACATTTAGCTAGCTAGTTGCCTTGTTTGAAGGGAATACAATGCAAAATATACAATGATACTGCAACAAATCACCTTGCACATAGATTATTCCTCACTTTTATCTGTATGACAAATTCCTAGCAGTGGGATTTGCTATGTCAAGGATATGTGCACTTATAATTTTTATATTATTCCTTCTTATGTATCTTTCCAGAGCTACTTTAAACATATCCAAACACATGTAAATATGGAAGAATGTCTTTTATTTGGACAGACTTGAATTTTCTCCTGAATCAGAGTCTACAATGATCAGTAGACTCTTGCCAATATTGAAAGTTAGAAATTCCTTTGTATTGGAAATTTGAAAACATTTGCTCCATTTTTTTTATGCTTCCAGTGTTGATGTTGAGAAATCTGAAACCATTCTGATTCTTCTTCCTTTTTTTATTTTCTTCCCTCTAAAATTTTGTTCTCAGTGTTTTCTGAAATTTCTTCATGGTATGCCCTGGGATTGCTCTTTTTATTCTTCTTGTTCCTTTTTTTCCCTATTGAACTGAGCACTAAGGCATTCATCTGGAAACCCCTGTCCTTTAGTTTGGAGAAGTTTTCTTGAATAATTTCATTGTTAAGTTTTCTGGTTCATGATCTCTTTGTTTCTGGAATTACTATCAATTAAACATTGGGCCCTTTAAACTGGTCTTCTAATTTTATCTTTGTTTTCTATTTTTCATTTTAGTTTTTACTTTCTGAAAGTTCCTCAATTTTATCTTGTTTTTTTTCCATTTCTATTATACTTTTTAACTTCAACTCCCTTTGTTTTCTTCTTAAATGTTCCTCTCTTATAGAGTTTTCTTTTCAATGGTATTTTTGTGGTCAGAAGAGTCTTACATCCTATGGGCAAAGAAAGGGATCAATGGAAGCCCTTAGAGAACGTGTCTGCTGATGCACACTGCCCCTGAAGCAGTCCCCCTTCTGAGGCACGGTCTGGGTTGCCACAGGTCCTGCAATTACACACCTGAACACTTGCAGGGAAGAGAGTCTCCTTCTGCATTCCCCTTTATCCACTGAGGACAGATATAAGTAAAGACTTTCTGAAACAAGTCTGAGAGTGAGGTGATCCTACCTGATTTCTCATTGTAAGCTGATGCTCCAGCACCCTGTGAAAAATGAGAGTGGTTTTAAAAAAACTGAAACTGAATGACTACAGATTACTGATAACAGATACAGCCGAATAATCACAAAGCAACAAATACTCTGCTAAAAGCCCTGGGTTTCCTCCCCAGCTACCCCTCCCCATCTACCAGTAAGGGACCACTTTCAATTGTTTATTTCATGACACAAGCCTGAATGTAGAATTTTATGGCTGAACAAATGAGGTGTCTTTTCTCTATTTCTTTGTTTTTCTTCTTCCTCCATAATGCTCCTCCTTCCCTCCCCCCATCCAGCAAAAGCAGAATTGCTGAATAAGTAGACAGAATCAAAATGATATTGAGGTTCCATTTTCACACATCATCCACCCTCTGGCTGCCTCTGGTGATTAGATTAGCATATTCTGGATTCCCTGTGTCTCACATGGTACAAGGAGAAACTTTAATTGGGCTATTGATACCAAACTGAAGACCCAGATTTCTTGCTATTAAGGGAGGAAATATTCATGTGCTGATCAAGTTCAAAATTCACCTATGTTTATATATAAGTACTTTTTACCTTAGAAAGCGCCATCCTCTAGGACCCTAGGGTCTTCAAATGTTTGTACCATTCAAATGTTTTGCTTTTCCAATCATAGATTGCTGTTCCCAAATATGGTGGTCCACTTCTAGGAATGAATACAAAGGATGCAATAAGCACAGACCAGAGTCTTAGGGAATTTGGCAAGAATGAACCATAGGAAAACTAAACATGATTTCTGGTCATGAATAGGTTTTAGTTTTACTAGTGAAAAGGCACTGGCACTATTGTTTTGCTGCCATAGTTACTGTTTACCTCCTATTTTTTACCATGAGGTTCCAATTGAAACCATAATGGCAGTTCAGGGAAGGGAGAGCTTTATGGAGGTGAGACTAGAACTAGACCTTGAAGGGTGGAACGGGTTTTTACAATTGGAAGAGGAGAATGATACCAAGTCGTAAGACTGAGCGCAGCATTAAAAAAAAAAAAAAAACGAGGAAAAACCAGCCTTCTACATGAACATGAAGAACCCTGGAGAGTGTTTGAAAAAAGGGTTGTAGTTATGTATCTCAAGGGTGTGTGTACTGAATTTGTGAAAAATTCTTAATCTAATAAGAAAGGGGAGCCTTGACTGGTTTAGCTCAGGGGATAGGGCGTCGGCCTGCAAACTGAAGGGTCCCGGGTTTGATTCGAGTCAAGGGCATGTACCTGGGTTGCGGGCACATCCCCAGTCGGAGGTGTGCAGGAGGCAGCTGATCGGTGTTTCTCTCTCATCGATGTTTCTAACTCTCTATCCCTCTCCCTTCCTCTCTATAAAAAAATCAATAAAATATATTTTA